CTATGGCAGTGAGTTTGTTTGGGTTTGGGGTCACATGGGGATTATTGGCGGTCATGGACAAACCTAGGTGTAGCAAGCCTTCCCACCACTTCACAAAGGCATTGACAACACAGCAGGAGGGCGTGGGGAGCAGGCTGTGGCTCCCTCCAAGACCTAAAAGCCACAGTCTTGAAACCATGCGGCTCAGAGGGCAACAGAACGGCCTGAGAGATTCTAGTCCTCGTCTACCACCACCACAGTAGCCTTGGGCCAATGGGTTCATTTTCTTCAAAGAAGATAAAGATCCATGTGCTCAAGCTGGTCTTTGGAATATGGCTTGTAACGATGAATACATAATTTAAAAAAATGATTCCATCTTAGCCACAACGGCTGCAATCATGGGCTCAAACACACAGACAGTTGTAAAGATGGCATGGGGCCAGCAGTGCTTTGTCCTGTTAGGTATGAGGTTGCCATGAGCCGGAGTCCGCTCAGTGGCAGCAAATAACATCAGAGATACAAATGCACTGAGATGTCTAATGGCCGAAATGAGACACAACTCCCTTGAACTAATGAGTTGAATGAGCAAAGCCAGTTAATTAAAATTATACATCATTTACTATTAATAGTGTCAGGATCCCCAAAGGAATTTATAATCCAGGACCTGGACGCACAGACGATCACCCCTCCCCTCCCAACATGGCACCCCTCCACTCTCTGCTGTTTCCACAGTGCACTGTCCATCATTGTCCATTTCGGTCTCTTGGCCATGGCTCTGAGAGGTTTCTAGGTCATAGCTAGTCTTCTGTGTGGACCTCGCTTAAGGAAAGAAGACCAAAGCGAGCAAAGCAGAGCCTGGTCATGGCCATCTAGTCAGGCCCACAGCGACGCTGCCGGAGCAAAGAGCCAATGAGCCGCTCCTGCAACGATGGGTGGTGCATGCGCTGCTGGGAGGGTTCGGACACTTATGGCCCTTTCCGACAAAGCAGAGGGGAACACATTGCTGGGCTCTCCTCCCACAGACGGTGGCGGTTTCGAACTGCTTGCCTTTTGGACATTGCTACTTCATAACTGTAATTTTGTTACTGTTATGAATCAGGTGAACCCTGTGAAAGGGTTGTTCAACCTCCAAAGGGGTCGCGACCCACAGGTGGGGAACCGCTGCTCTAAGTTCTTTAATGCTCACCCTTCCCCCTCCACTATCAATATCCTAGTTCTATCTTACAAATCTGGCTAGACCAGAGCATGTACACTGGTACAGATCAGAGCTCTCAATACACAGAATCCAGGACCTATAAACCACTCAGGACCAGTAATGCGAGTAGCAATACCATGAGGGTAGGGGGAAGGTAGGGGGAGCAATGATCAACATATAACACTCCCCCAAAGGGGAAGAACAACAGAAATGTGGGTGAAGGGAGACAGGTGATGGTGTACAATATGAAAAGAAAAATCATTTCTAAATTATCAAGGGTTCACGAGGGTGAGAGGGTGGGGGAGGGAGGGAAAAAAGAGGAGCTGATACCAAGGGCTCAAGTAGAAAGAAAATGTATTGAAAATGATGATGGCAACATATGTACAAATGTGCTTGATATAATTGATGTATGGATTGTTATAAGAGCTGTAAGAGTCCCTGCTAAAATGATTTAAAATTAAAAATAAATAAAACAAATGATAATGGGGCTCTTGAGAGTTTAGATTGAGATCACTGGAGCACAGAACAGGTGGCAATAAAGTGAGCACATGGGTTTTTTGTACTCCAGTGCATCTCAAAGGTAACGTCACCCACTACAGTAGACTGTCAGGTGGGCAGTGACATAATGAAAAAGGCTGGAACACTGTGTGAATCACCGAAGTGTGGCACAGTGCCACGAAGTGAGGGCATGCTATAGGAAGAACTGCTCCTGCTAGACCTGCTCAACACAAGGCTGCTACAAACCTTCAGTTATGAAGTAGCGATGAAAATAATTTTATGGTTGATGGGTCACCACAACATGAAGTATTAAAGGGTCGTGGCATTAGGAAGGTCAAGAACCACTGAGGTAGAGGAATGCTGTTTGTTTCATTTGTTTCCTCAGTGCTATACTGCGCCCTGGCCGGCTTATCCCTTCCTTGTGACCCTTCTGTGAGGGTATGTCCAATTGTCTACAGATGGGCTTTGGGTTTCCATTCCAAACCCCCTTGTTCACATTGAAATGGTTGTTTTGGGTCTTCTGATGCCTGATAACCGATCCCTTCGACACCTCCTGATGGCACAGGCTGGTGTGCTTCTTCCACGTGGGCTTTGTTGCTTCTGAGCTAGATGGCCACTTGTTTAACTTCAAGCCTTTAAGACCCCAGATGTTATATCGTTTGATAGCCAGGCACCATCAGCTTTCTTCACCACATTACCTTATGCACCCATTTTGTCTTCAGCGATAATTTCGGGAAGGTGAACATCACAGAATGCCCGGTTATTTGAACAAAGTGTTCTTGCATCGAGGGAGGACTTGAGTAGAGGCCCAATGTCTGTCTGCTACCTTAATACTTAACCTATAAATATATATACATAGACCTATATCCCTATCATTATATATTAATATAGTTACATATGTACATGCCTATGTTTGTACCTCTATAAATGTCTTTGTCTCCTAGTTCTTTCCTCTATTTCCTTTTACTTTCCTTCTGTCCCACCGTCATGTTCAACCTTCATTCATCTCGCTGTACTTCCTCTCGGCTACACTGCACTTGATCAAACCCCACCAGGCATTCTATGCCATCCATTTAGATCTCTTGTTGTTCCCTTGTCCCTGGGGTTCCCCCTCCTTTTCCCCCACGTCCTCCTCTCCCTTGTCCCCCTGGACCATTCGGTCCTGTTGTTTTCTCCTTGGGATTATTTACTCTGCCTCTCTTATGTAGACATGAAAAAAAGAAAAAACAGCCTATGAATAGTTCCAGGTCTGCCTGCTGACCCTTACAAATGTTTTCCGATTGGGTCTGATGCAGTGCCAAGCCCTGGGCCCCGAGTCTGAAGTCTGTTTGCAGAGTTCCTAGGGGCCTTTGTTGCTCTGCTCCCCTTGGTGCTCTGTTGTGCTACCTTCGTGTTACGCCCTGGTGTGGGGGGCTCAGAATGGGCATAATTCCCGCACTGTGTCCTCGGTGCTACCTCCTACCCTCCAGTAGCACTGTGGATCAGTGAGGGAACATCGTGTCTTGTTACTTTTATTATTTGAAGGGAAAAAATACAAAATATGAACAAGGTTTCTTTGCTTTCTCGCTCCTCATTTTCCTTGTCTAAAAGTTTTGGGAAATTCCTTTCCTATTTTACCCTGTAAAGGAGTTTTGTTTTTTTCCCTATTGAAAATATAATGGTAAGAAGAATCGTAAGATACTATCCAGCTTGGGAGGTTTAAAGGCAGCTAAGTGAGTTACAGGAGTTCTGCAGCAGTGGCACTGTTGGGTAGGTGTTGGACTGCTAGTCAAAAGGCCAGCGGTTCAAACCCACCAGCCACTCTGAGGGAGAAGGGTGAGGCCGTATGCTCCTGTAAAGATTCGCAGCCTCAGAAACAGCACAGAGGATTGCTACGTGGCAGAGAGAGTGGTGGGTGAGTAAGATAAAGAACCCAAGGCCAAACCTTCTGCCACTGGGTCAATGTAGACACATAACAAGCCTAAAGGGACCAGGTGGAACTGGCCCCGTGGGGTTCTGAGACTGTTACTTTTTATAGGAGTGCAAGGTCTCCTTTTTCTCCTGCTGGTGGTTTTGAACCGCTGACCTTACCGTTAGCAGCCCAGTGCATAGCCACCAATCTACAATTAGATTTAATCATAACCTAATGGGGGCACATTGTGGTGTGCCATCAAGTCAAAACCGGCTCCCAGTGACCCAGCAGGACGGAGCAGAATGTCTTCACAGGGTTGTCTAGGCTGTAATCTTTATAGGAGCAGACCATCCCGTCTTTTCTCTGTGTAACTAGTGGGTGCAAACCCAAGCACCTGAGTGCTTAATCATTGTGCCACTAGGACTCCTTCCCAGATGTACAATATACATTTATGGTCCCATTGCTATTTAAAAAAAACACGTGCACAAGATGAATCCCTTCTCTACTTATCCTGTGAGGTAAGCATGGCCAATTGCCCCTTCACAGATGAGTAGACTGAGGCTCAGGAGATAGAGCAAGTTATCATCTACCTTGACAGTGCTTGCTGGTAGATAACAGAGGCAGTCCTACACAAATTCTGCTTTTCAGCATGCTAACCCACCTTTCTCTGACCCACAGCCCTGTCATCCCAAGTCGCTGGCACTGCGCAGGCAGGCCCCAGCAATGGATCCAATTCAATATGTGCAGGGGCAAGTGATTTTCTGTTCAACACCATCATCATTAGCTTTGACAATTAAATCCTTGTCCCATTAGCCCAGAAAAGGCCATGGAGAAGCTGATCCCAATGTCACGGAGCCGGGGGGCTTGGTGTTTCCATCTAAGGCTCAGTAAAGCATGGGAACGACTGGCTGTGGAGCCACGTGGAGCTGCCCAGCCCTACACCGTGGGTGATTCAGACTGTCATCTGGCAGCCACAGCTTTCTAGCAATTACCCGTGGCCACTTAGTGTCACTGTTAGGAAATCAGCGTTGGGACGGTTCCCAGCTCCTCATTGAACTCTCGATAAAAATTAAGAGTTAAGAAACTGGCTTGGCTGCAACCTCTTAGCATTTTTGAAAGACACACCTGGGGCAGGTGAGCGTGAAGCAGGCCACCTGACCGACAGCTTGGATGAGCTGGAGACTGCGCCGGGCCAGAGAGAATTTGGAGATGGCCCCAGGAGCTGGTTTGGGGGTTTTGTTTTACCCTGGGGTACAGTGGGGCTGGAAGGTGCTAGCAGTTTAAAGCAGTGAATGGGAAGACTTGAACTTAGCCAAAGGCTGCTGCTTCCCCCTTGAGGTTGTTCCGAACTAGACCCCGTGGTTTCCAGCATCATCTAGGGAGTTTTCTTCACTCTCTTTCGTTCCAAACCAGAACAAAACCCACCTCACGCCATGAGTCCATTCTGACTCCCAGCGACCCCCCAAGACAGGGTGGAAGTGCCCGGGGAGTCCCCAAGACTGTGACTGTACAGGAGTGGAGAGCCCCGCCTTTCTCCTGCGGTTTCACATTGCCTACGAGGTTAGCTCCCCTGAAACCCAAAGGCACCCAGGGAGCTCAGTAAGTTACTGCTGGTCGAAAGGTGGGCAACAAGTACCTACCGGCTGCTCCGAGGTAGAACGCAGGACGAGGCCATCCACTTGGGTCAAGCGTTCCCCTCTGGAAGAGCCTGTGGCCCAGTTAGCTCTGCTCCGGCCTCCCGGGTCATGAAGGGTCAGAAGAGACTGGAGGCAGTGGGTGTGGCTTCCTGAAACCCTGCGCCTTCAACATTCAGGAATAGCTCTTGGAATGCTAGTACATTTTCATTTATGCAAATGGATGTTGACAACGTATTTAGCTGAAAGCAGGCAGACTTTGTCTTCATTTTTGATCTGGGCTGTTGCCTCTTTGTTTCAAAATTAATCATCTGAAGAACTTCACAAAGGGCTCTAATGAAAAGAAAATAAAGAAGTAAAAGGCTAGTGGGTGGGAGGGAGGCGCCCACAACACTGTCACCTGAGCTCTCCCTTTTTTCTCTCGGGGATTTTTTTTCTTCAACTTTTTCATTAAAGATGCTGAACATTTCGTGTGGCTGAGCCTCTGCACTATAATAGCGATGCAGGGGCCAGCTGGGGGTGGGGAAGGGTCGGGGTGACTATTGTTTTAAACATTTTAAACAGTAAATACCAGCAGGGTCTCAGAAATTCTCAGCTGGCAAATATTCAGCCTCTTCCCCACCCTACAGCACTGTCTGTTCTCCCACCTCCCATGGCTCTGCTCCAAGAAATCTTGACACTGGAAATTAGCTCAGCTCCTTGTAATTTAAGCAGGAGTTAATTTAAACAAATGGTTCTGTTACCATCTGGGAACGGCCTGGCAGAGAGTTAGAAAAGCCCTCTAAAATGTTTAGTCTGTTTTAGTCTACATTTTCCTAATATTTTGCTTTATGTGTCTCATTCTAGTTAGCAACTATTACTGGGTCTTCATCTTTGCCTTGCCCACTTTCACCTATCCAGCTGGATTCCCCGTGCGTACCTCCCCCTGCCCCCTCCAGCCTCCCCCTCCTCTTGACCCAGTGCTTCCCTTCCTGCCTCTCCGGGCTGACAGCGCACGGCTGGAGGCTGGTGAAGGGGCCTGTAGAAGATGCTGCTCACCTGAGTTTGTGCGTGTCATACAGCAGACTCCTGTTAGGTGGGGTAACTGCAAAGAATGAGAATTTGGGAAAGGACCTAAAATCACAGTAGATTTCAAATTTCTAAATGCTGTCAAATGATCACAACCATCATAAAAGTAAAAGACATTATATATACTGTATATACAATCTTAATATTATAATAAATAATGTATTACTCAATATAACAACATAAAAGTCACTGCCATTGACTTGATTCTGACTCACAGCAACCCTAGGGCACAAAATTGCCCTTTTTGGGTGAATAGAACTAACTGTCCCTTTGGGTGAGTTCTTAGTAGAACTGCCCTTTGGGGGTTCTCGGGCTCTAAGTCTTGGCAGGAGGGAAAAGGCTCATCCTTCTCCCTCTTAGTGGTTGGGGGGTTCAAACTGCTCACCGACTCCTAACCCACTGGGGCACATTCGAAACAAAACGAAATCTCACTGTCAGCAAGTTGATTCCGACTCAGGGCCACCCCATCGGTCAGAGTCGAACTGCTCTTTGGGGTTTCCAAGGCTTGATATCTTTACGAGAACAGAGAACCTCCTCTTTCTCCCAGGGGGGGGTCTAGTGGTTTTAAACGGCCAACCTTGCAGTTAGCAGCCAACCGTGTCACCCACTAGGCCTGGACTGACAGGTCTACCACGCATTATTCCCTACACTTTTTAAATACTCTTGTTATGGGAATGATTTTTGTAAACTCATTTTAAATAGAAAATTGATTTATTGTTTCCTTTACCATGTTTGATTAAAATTTGTTCTTCACTACTGATAATGTGATTGACACTAAACTTTACAACATAGTTTTCTTAATAGCATGTCCGTTTTCAAATGATCAGATTTGGGAACACTGCTATTAAGGTTTTTCTTGTATAATCTTTAAGAAATGCTATATATGGAAGACATGTATTATTCTGTATTCTGTTGGCTACCAACCTCCTTGTTGCAGTGGGCCGTTATAAAAACAAAAAGGCAAAGTACTGCATGACCCACAGGATAGAACTCCTGCTTTGTGCGGACTCAGCACCACTGAGGCCTGAATCCTCTGCCTACAGGATGGCATTGCGATGTCCGGTTCTACACAGGCTAGCTCTGGCTTCGTGCGTTTGAACCCTATTGGTCCCCATGACACATGTTCTACGGTGCTGGCCACCTTGGTGTCTGGACGCCAGTGAAGCAGCACTTCAGTGTATTCACAAGAGCTCCGTCTGCACGGGGAGTGGTTATGAGGCTGGGCTGCAATCCACATGGACAGCAGTTCAAAACCACTAGCAGCTGTTTCTGTAAATCATTAGAGTCTCAGAAACCCACAGGGGGTGGCTCTGAGTCAGCACTGACTTGAATCTTGATGACGGTGAGTTTTCCTACAGAGACAAGGAGCATATCTTAGGTCGAGGTGACCTCCGTGAGAAACAATCAGACATTAAATAAATATGCAAGACTCAAACTAAATGCATCTGCTGCGCAGTCCATTCCTTGGGTCTCCAAAATGACTGGGGGGATTATGATGCAGCCCCTGGGCGCTCAGGGGAGTGTGAAGTGGAAGGACACAGCAGTACAGCAGCCTTAACACATGCAAGGTAACATATGTACGTGATTCTTTTCCAGTTTTACAAAAGGTCTAGGACCATGTGAATATATTCTTAGGTCATGCCAAGAACCTTGAAACCTGAACAAGTGAGTACCTCTGAAACACAAATTGTACTCACCCACTCACTGCTATGAGTCAATGCCAAGTCACAAGTCTTAGGGACCCTATAGAGATGGGTAGACCTGCTCCTGTGGGTTTTCAAGACTGTAATTCTTTATGGGAGTAGACAACCTCAACTTTCTCCTGAGCCGCAGCTGGTGGTTTCAAACCACTGACCTTTTAGTTAGCATCCCAGTGCATAACCACTATGCCACAAAGACCCTGGCTTTACACAAATCTGCTTCTACTAGGAGAGATATTTCAATTTGGAGTTTTTGTTTGGAAACAGTAACAACCAAAGATTTAAGAATGACCGAGACCTTATTCTGTAATAAAAATGAATTTAGTGCTTCTACCTATTTGTGTAGATAAAAGTCATGTGTGGCTGTTTGCACAGCTGCAGCTACTGAGCAACATTTCAGGACCAAGGCCTGTGAGGAAAGCATGCCGGGGGTGGGGTGGGGTGGGGGGGGATGCTCCTGGAAGATGATTTGGCGAGGCGCACCTGAGCAGGTTAGAATCAGCATCAGTTTACATAGCAGGAGATTCCAGTGTGGCGGCTTTGGGCCCCCTTGGAAACCCTCTGTCAGCATGACCCAAGATGTCAAGTTGTCTTGTTAAGACAACTCCCTCTTTCAGAAAAAAACAAATACAAATAACAATCTCCTTCTTTCATTCCACTCAAGAACCTCATTCTTGTTTTGCCAGCTCCAATAACCCAGTTATTGTGTATCTAATTGTGTGCCCGCCCCCCACTCCATTATGTGCTCAGATCCCAAGCCTGAGGACATGATCTAATATGCAGGAGTCAGAAGTTTGAGATGGAAGAGCTTATCCTGTCCCTCACAAGCATTTGCAAAGTACTCACGAACCGTAGATAAATGTTTACAAAGGAAATCACCATTATCTGGATAATAGCCTTTACAGTTTTTCAGTTTTACTTCAGAGCCACATGTACGTACCAAAAGAGCTGAGTTTGCCGACCCCTGATCTAATGAACTCACCCTTCCATAATGCAATTTAATGTGATGTAGTTAGTGAAGGTCATACCAGTATAGGGGTGGATCATAAGCCAAATTAACTTTTGATTCCTAAAAAGAACAAAATGTGCATACTCTCTCCCAAACAAACAACCGCGCCCCTGCCATCAAGTTGATTCTAACTGATAGCACCCCTGTAAGGCAGAGTAGGACGCCCCGTGCGTTTCCAGGATGCACACCTTTCCCGGAGAGAACGCCTCATCTTTCTCCTGTGGAGCAGCTGGTGGTTCTGAATCGCTGACCTTGTGATTAGCAGCCCAACGTGTGCAGTAACACGTGAAACCGAGGAGATAGGAGGCGTATGAGGATCATCTAAGGCAGTGGTTCTCAACCTTCCTCATGCCACAGCCCTTTCCTACAGTTCCTCATGTGTGGTGACCCGACCCGCCACCATAAAATTATTTTCGTTGCTACTTCTTAACTGTCATTTTGCTACTGTTATGAACCGGGTGACCCCTGTGAAAGGGTTGTTCGACCTCCAAATGGGTCACAACCCACAGGTTGAGAACGGCAGATCTAAAAGCAAAGAATGGCTGGCAGCAAAAAGGGAGAGAGAGACTCTCAGAGGGAATTGTCATGACTGAGAATCTGATTTGCATGTTTAAGTTCTAGAACTGTGAACAAATACATTTCTGTTCTTTAAATGTGGTATTTCTGCTACAGCAGCAGTAGGCCACCTACACACTGTACACACACAAACCGAAACCACTGCCCTCGGGCCCTTTCCTACTCATAGCCACCTCCATAAGCCTGCCGAGGCTGTAAGCATGAGGGGAGCAGACAGCCTCGTCTTTTTTCTGCAGAGGGGCTGGTGAGTTTGAACTGCTGACCTTGTGATTCACAGTCCAACACTTATTTGCCAGCATCACCAGGGCTCCTCCCGATGAGTAGTTGGCAGGAAAAAGGAGAGGCCCTTTTGGTTGTCTGTTGTGTGGGAAGCACAGCCTCTATTTGGGGTCTGTTTTTATTATTTATAGCCCTCTCAGGCTTGGATATCTGTTCCCCAAGTGAAACAGAGCCTTCTTTGTTGGTTGGGCTTTTTTTTTTTTTTTTAATCCTAAAAAGTAGAAGGGTGAACCTCAAAAAACGACTGACTAGAATAATAACCACTTGCTTAAGTCTGAGCTGAAAATGGCCATATCGCTTCCTTCCCACTCCCTATCCCCTGCTGAGCCCAGGAACTTCCAGGGAACACAAATATCATCCAGGCAACAGTTGCCCTGAGCTAGCTAAGCACCAAAGTGTTGCGCTTTTTTTGTTGTCGCTTTTTTTGTTGTCGCTGAGAATAACCCTTCCCAGGTTTCCCTTTGAACTTTAGAAAACTGAGAAACTTCAGGGCCAGCCAACCCAGGGGCACGAAAGGAGATGGTTGCCCGTTTCTCCAGGAGAACTTTGAGGTGTTTGAACTCTGGCTTGGTGATTCTATTCCCAGAAACCTGCCTCCAGAGAGCCTCTGACATGGAAATGTTGAATGCACACTGACATATATGCAAGGGGGCTAGGTTTGTGGCTGTTACCTGCAAACTCAGAAGTTCAAAACCACCGGCTGCTCTGAGGAAGAAAAGCGGAGCTTTCTACTCCTGCAAAGAGTAAAGTCACAGAACCTCACGGGGCAGTTCCTTCTGTCCTGTAGGATCGCCAGGAGGCAGAGTCAACTTGATGGGTTTGGAATTTTGGGTAAGAGTAGATGGTGTACAGGAAAACATGCTTATAATAATTTTGCGCGTGTGTTAAAAAAAAGAAGAAACGAAAAAGTTCTAGTTCTAAAGCTAATCCAAACGAAAAACCTTCAGATGTGTTAATTTCTGAAAGATGTATCTTAATATAAATCAATCACGGTAAATAAAACATTTAAACCTGTGAGCTGTCATTATTTTAAAGAATGTTTCCTGATGGTCTTTTAATGCCTAACCAAGATCGACCACAAACTTCTTTATTCCTTGACAAAGTTTTTCGCTGTTTGTAAGAAAAAACTGTTTTATTTCATTAGGTAGTCATTCTAGGCATTGGTGTTTATTAACCTGCCAGTCCAGGGATGGGGAACATCTGGCCCACAGGTCATATCAGATCTGCGAAGTCATCCCTGCCAGCTAACATCATATGCCACTCCAAACAGAAGCAGTGCCAGCCACCATATTTTCACTGTCATGGACCCAATGCTGACTCACAGCGACACCCTGTGGGTTTCTGAGACAGTCACTGCTTTCAGGAGTAGAAAGCCCAGTTTTTCTCCCAAGGAGCTGGTGGTGGTTGTGAACTGCCTGCCATCAAGATTGCAGCCCAACTTGTGACCACTACATTACTAGGAGGGAGTTAATTTAATGTTTGACCAGTATGGTCTATGAATGATGTTATAAATATCCAAGTGACCCTTTGGAAAAAATTGGTTTCCCACCCCAGTGACCTTAAAACAATTCAGAGATACCCAATCACAACAAACCCCCAGTGCCATCAAGTAGATTCCAACTCATAGCAACCCTATAAAATCCAAGACAGATAAACCCATCAGAAACAGTAATGGGAGTAATGATTCTCTGAGGGTATAGGAAGAGTAGGAGGCTCATAGATCTATTTCCCCATCCTCATATAAATATATTTGCATATGTACATGTCTTTATCTAGACCTCTATAAATGCCCTTTG